AAAGATTCCCTAGGAAGCAGATTTGAAAGAAAAAAAACTGCTCCCGTGTGCCTTTCTTTGCTTTGGAGGTCATGTGGGAGAAAACTTTTACACTAAACAACTTGAGGAAGTCAGGAAGGTTCATCATCAATGGGTGTAATATACTTTTGCAGGTAAGTGAATTCTCTAATCATCTCCTTCCTTGTTGTGTTGAGACTATAAGGCTACAGATTCTTTTTTTCCCTTCTTTTTTGGACAGAAAAAAAAAACTCATTAAGATAAGGAAGAAAGCATTACAAAAAGAACCATGGATAAAAATATCCAGCTAGAATAAAAGGAAATCAAAACAAAAAGAAAAACACAAAGAAGGCACCAAATAGAGAAAAAATCACGTGACTATAGCCTCCCACCTATAGTCACAGGATTTATTTTGTCCTCACTGAACCTGTCCTAGGCAGTTAGTGACTCGGTTTGAGAATGAATTACAGCATTAGGACAACACTCAGGTGTGCAAATTTCTCCTAAAATTTAGTCTACTTTTCTTAGCATCAGAAAACTGGTTTCAGACCATGAATTTTTTGTTTAATGATCAACCTCATAGCTAAGAGGAGGATCTGAGGAACCTCATTGATACTTTGGTTTCTAGTCTAAACTTGGGAAGCTTCTTTTGTATTTGGATGGCACTCTGTTGGTACCTTATTATTAAAACTTCTATAATAACTAAATCTTGCAATTTTTTTTTTTTTGAGGATGACTCAAATAATAACTAATGCTACCATCTGGTGTCATGGAATCTAGTGGGCTCGCCATCAAGTCCTTAATCGAGATGAGTAAATCTTTGCTTGTCAAGTAGGGGTTTAAGTTATTTGGTGCAAACTAAAAAGCAAAACCAAACGACTAAAATAGCTTACTTTGGGTTGGTTATTGGACCTCTAAACTTTAGGTTGGATTGGAAACCAACAACAAAACATTTCTATCTATATCGTATTATTTTTACGACAGTACAATGTGTATCGACCTGTATGGACCAATATGGTGCATATTTACTACAATGCTCTGAGAGCAAAAGACAAAAGCAGAACTTGTTGTATCTAAGAAGTTTCGCCATAGGTTAATCTTCAAAAATTCATGAAATACAAAATGAATTGTCAAGCATAGCACGAGAGAGTCATAAATAACAATTCACAGCATTTTGAATTTTATAGTTAACATTTTCCGAGTTCAATGGAAAAAGATAATATTTAAAAAAAATTCAACATTATTTGACCTCCAGAGTACTTGCACTTTACTCGTTCTCCAACTTGAACCAAATAAATGCTCTACCACATTCTTAAATGTCATCCTACCCAAATAATGCAAAAATTAAGGATACCCAAGAGCATGAGGCTATTTGAATTAGCTTTATTATATTTGATGCTTTACGTGCATAGGACTTTCAGCTCCAATGAGCTTTTAATTCGTAGTACTTCAAGCAAGAAAAGTTTTTAAATACTTGACTCTTTTTATAGCTTTTAGACTCTAATAAATTGTTGAGTATCTAGTAAATTAGAGCTTTAAGTTAAAAATTACTTATATATAGTATTTTGTTTTCATAATTATAATTTGGTTAAAGAAATGGGAAAATAAGTTTTTCTAGTTTTTTACTCAAAGCTCTTTCAGAAGTAAGCTGGTTTTGGAATTCTTTATGTTTGGAGCAAAAACTCTCTGTAAGTTTCGCACTTCAAAGGATGATCTAGACATCTTAGGACTTACTCTTTAACCAGAATGAATCTAAACACCTTGCACCGCATAAATAAGCCACTCAAACCACTAATGTAGATAATATGTCAGAAGACTGGGGAGAAAATAAAGATCCAAAATCATGCATCATTACAAGGAGGAAGATCCAGTAGCTTACTGTAACGTAGATACCCAAGCTCTAGCAGCACCAGGAGTCTCTGCACATAGAAAATAATCCGTTTTCTGTGGAGTCCCAATATCTAAACATAGTTAAGGACAAATGTTGGGTGCCACTTAAATCCAAAAAACTGGCAATGATATCATCAACCGAGTCAAAAGAGATCAATTTGACATCTTTCTATATTCTAGAAGAATGAGGATACAGAAACAGCAGCCATCATATTTAGGAAGTCCACTGCATTAGATAAAATATAGACCTTACTGATCATTCAAATCAATTCCTCAAACAAATACATAGCTGAAAATGTAAGGTTAACCAGGAAGAATCTGTCTTACTGAAAGTTCACTGGAGATATTGTAATCGTGCTATTAGCATCAAATATAATTGTACCCTTGATGGCTGGATCATTTCGCCTAGTCCTGAAGGATGTCTAAAATAGTTAATTGAACATTCAAACACAACCACTACCAGAATGAGGTTACGACAGAAAGAAGCTAGCATTTATTTCGTATACTCACTTGTATTCCATTTTCCCCGTCGTTGGATCCAATATCACCCACCGCTCATTCCATTTCCTCAGCTATTAAAACAGAAAAATAATTGAAATACAGTGGGAAATCCAAATTTCAAGAAAAAGCTAAAAACCTAAACAAGCAAAAGTACTACATGAAAGCTTAAGCAAAAGCTGGTCTTTAAGAAGGCCAACCGGGGAATGGAGTTAATGAATTAAAATTATAAGAATTTAATTAGAATTTCAACTAAACAGTCCAAGCTTGGGACGAATAGCCATTTTACAGAGAAAACCTAACAGTAATTCAAGATTTGGCCAAAGATAGCAATACAGAAGGTTTAAATCGAGGAAGAAGAAAAGGAATTAAAGATATAGCATCATACAGTTTCTGATCGCTTGAGAAGTGGACCCTGCAACAAGTTCCGGCCAGAGCCGGAAGCTAACTGCCGTTTGATCTTCTCCAAGCTGTTCTCCGTAGTGTCCAGTACTCCCCGTTCCTTCATGATCACCCAAAATGAATCAAAATATGCATTGATCATGGATATGTGTGATTACAACTCATGCGTGCGTGTGAGTATTGAGGAAGAGAGAGCGAATGACTGACCGAAGAAGCACCGTTTGAAGCCATATAGTAAATCAGGGAGGTTGCGAATCTCCGAAAGTAACAGGAGTTTACGATTTTGATGGTATTGTAGGGTTTTCTCAGGGGATTTGACGATCTGGTTTTTGGTTGAAAAGACTGTTAGGTTTGCTCCATAGACTTCAGTTGATGATGACGAAGGAATACGTTTCTTTTTTTCGAAACGTCCTTATGGTTAAATAATGAAAATTAATACATATATTTAAAAATAATTTTAAATTAACACAAAATCAGAAGATAAAAAAAATTAGATAAAATAAAAACAAATAATACATGAGATATTTCTGTAATTATGCTATGAATTAATTTATGTATATTATGGGGATTTAAAAAAACTCTAATAGCCGAATTGGAAAAGATACTAGAAAAGGAAACTTACTTGGGAATAAGGAGATTCCCGTGACTCGAGAAAGAAACAGCTATGGATCGAGATTTGATCTGATTGCCGAAATGGGCGATGCGAATCTTGAATCCAACAGTATTCAGGTGGATTTTGCGGGGACAAGATTTTAGGAATTGGAAACTGGTGGGATATAAGGAGAAAAGGAGAAGCGCATTAAATACAGGCAGGAGATAAGAGGAGATGGGCCCCTCGGTGATGGGCCAAGTACTTCTAAACCCAATAAAACGTACCCCCTTAACTGCTAATCTGGTCCAAACTAGCGGGCCAGTGGCTATCCTGGGCTTGACTCAAAATTTCCCTCAACAAGTGGGCCCTGGGCTTCTTAACTGGGGCAAGTCGGATTAATGAGATTAATATGGGCTTGCCTTTTAGCCCTAGCTCGCACGTGACGATCCAACACATCAACTCCATTTTTGACAAGCAGAAACACTCTACAATCCGAATCGAAGAGAATCGGGTTGGGCAAGGCAGCAGTGTCGCACTGGCTGCCACTTCTAGCTCCAGCGCTAACCTCTTGAGCAACACCTTCCAAAAAGCCTCTCAGCCACCAGACAAGTGTTTGTTGGGCATCAGGGTTAGCAAAGCTTCCCATCGCGACTTGAAACTGAAGAAACGCCGTGAGGATATTACGAAGGCGTCGAAGCTCACTACCGCGTCTCTTCTGGGCGGGGCACAGGAGGATTTAGAGACGGAGGCGGGCATCGGTCTGCTCGGCAAACCTATAAGCTTCGCGATTTGATATGGCTAAGCCATATTATGCCTCCTTCCCGATCCCCTTGGTGCTTTTTCTCGGCTGCCTGTTTCTTCTTCTTTTCTTGTCCATGGAACATAAAATCCTCACATGGAATTGTTAGAATACAGCGAGCCCCGATTTCAACTAGATTTTTCAAACTTGTTTCCATCATTATCAGCCTGGAATTGCAACCCTTATGGAGCCGCGTATTGCCGGGGATAAAAGCTGACAAGATTATTTGTAGCTTGGGCTTTGGTTCCTCTCACCGGGTGGAAGCTCTAGAGTTCTTTGGTGGTATTTGACTACTCTAGAATGACCCTTATCATTTACGTTGAAGTTCTCTAGAATGATGTTAACCGCAAGATTTTATTCACGGTAGTCTGCGGGAGCCCTTAAGGTCAGAGATGTTGCCATTTATGGGGCTTTCTCAACCAAATTAGTACTACTATTGATGGTCATTGGTTACTCGTCGGTGACTGCAATGCAATTTTAGATAGCTTGGACATGAAGGGTAGGGCTAGGAAGAGTTGCGAAGGGTGTCTGTATTTTTCACAGTTTTTTAGCCACAAAATCCTCTCCCAAGTTAACTATGTAGGACCTGCTTTCTTCTGGCATAGAGGCACTATCTTTCAATATCTTGACAGGGCTTTTGCCAATATGGCTTGGCTGAGTACCTTTTAACAGACTTTTGTACGACACCTGCCTAAGCTTCAGTCGGACCATCGACCTCTTCTGATTATTACGAGGGTGAGTCATATGCATAGCCGAAAACCCCAACCTTTCCGGTTTCTTGCAGCATGGCTTACGCATCCCAACTTCCTTATGCTTGTCCATAATAACTAGCAAAAAGATAGCTTTTTCCAGGCCAACATCGAACGCTTCTCCAAGTAGGTCAAGGACTAGAACTATAACACCCGAAAATTTTCTTTTGTAATTTAGGATTTTATTCTAAATGTAATAAAATAATTTTTTAATTTTTAATTTTATTTTATTTTATTTGGAATAAAAATGAAATAAAATTGATAGAGAATTAATGAAAATAATTTTGAAATTATTTTCAAAAAAAGGGGTGAAATTTTAAGTTTTGATGGTATTTTTGAAAGAAAAATAGAAAAACAAGGGTCAAAATAGAATTTAGAGAAGTTTCACCACATAAGACGCCTGATCAGCAGCCCTGACCAACCAGGACGTGCCAAGTAGCAGAGACGCTGACGCGGGAGGCTACGTGGGTGATCCGCGTGTCCGCGATCGAACGGTTGAGGTCTGTTCCCGCGCATACGGACAATCTGGATGCGCTCCCTCCCAAACGTGATCGAATGGCCAGATTCAAACTCGATTGACGGTCCAGAGTGAATCGCGATGGATGACATAGATTGGATTGTGATGAATGGTCTAGATTCACTCCTTATTTAATCATGATCAAATGGTCTAGATCAAACGTAATGGATGACCCAGATCAAAAGCGGATAGATATAAATAACCCCCATCCGTACTAAACCCTAACCCTAACTGCCAGAACCCCTTGCCGTATAAGACGACCCAGCCACCGGGGAGCTGATTGCCGCCACCCGCCGCCACACCGGAACCTTTTTCGACTGCCTAAAAAGGTAAAAACTTTTTTTTGCACGAAATTCAATTTTAAACTCACCCATGGCCAAATGGGAGCAAAAAGACCGATCAATTGGCCGAAAAATACTGGCGAAGCCCGGCAGCGCCGCCGTAGGAAATTTCAACAAACACTTCCGATGAGGCCCTTCTCAATTCTCGTTTCACGTAATTTTTTCACCGTTGTGATTATCGTTTTCTTCTCTACAGGTTGACGAAGCAAAACACCCAACCGCAACATGAGCTAGAGGAGCCGCCGCGCCGGAGAGTCTCGCCGCCGGTGAGTTTCAATTTTTCGTATTTTTTCGGGCAACTGAGGCCATTTAATATATTTTCTCGCAGGGATTGATGCAAAATCAGCCGAGCTGAGACGGACCGCCGCCGCACCCAGCAGTGCCATCACTGGAGCACGGTGGAGCCGCCATGCAAAAATTTCAAAATTGGCCGAGTGGACCCTGGGATTAATTTTGGACTGATTTGGAATATTTGTAAGTACTATTAGCGCGTTTCAGTTCCCGGAGAAAAATTTAAGGAACCTAGGGACTGCCCATAGACGGAGTAAATAGTTTAGCTTTTCGGCCGTCAAATCGAATAAAGATCCTTCACCCTATTTCCCATCATAGAATTAAAGTCTAAATTAATAATAATATGATATTTGTGTAAATTAAATAAATGTGCATAATTAATTATGGATTGCTAATGGAACCCGAACCAAAAATTATTCTTTGTTGATTTTTGTTAATTTATTTTACAATCTAAAAGCATGATGGTATCTGGTTTATCACTTTTATGATTTGAATGCATGAATTGCTGCCTTACGTAATTATTGTTTGATTGGAAAATTGAGATATGATTGCATTCTCTTATGCATGTTTGTTTGTTTATATTATCATGGTTGATTTAAAAAATGGAGACTCAAGGAAAATGGAAAAGTTGTGTGATTAAATGAACAGATAGAATGGCAGCCTTGCTGGATATCTTGAGAGATGGTGGACGGACCGGGTACATAAGGAACCCTACTGTGAACGTTGTCTCATACCAAATAAGGTATGGAGACTTGATAATTTGGCATTCATACCAGACGGGGTATAAGGACGGCCTACTTCACCTTCATACCGGACGGAGTATTGAAGTTTGATAAATTGGCGCTCATACTGGACGTAGTATAAAGACGACCCGTAATTTAATATTGTTAAAGAAAATGGTTCACGTGTAGCGATGACATCCCTATGAACCCCCATGGATACTAGTAGATTGGTGAAAAAGTGACAGTTATTGTTTGGTTATTTAATGATGTGTATAGATTTATGATATATACTATGTTGTTGTTCCAACTGATTGCATATGAAACTATGATATGTGTTATGCTATTGTTTTATATAGGTTGTTTTCTATAAATCTCACTATGGTAAATGAACGGTAAACGATTTCATGATGGATAAATGAATTTACTAAATTTAGTGCTACATTAGTTGTTTTTGTTTTATACCAACTTTTACTTCTATGTCGATGATATAGTGTGATATCCTTACTGGACTAATGTACCTCATCATTTATTTAACCATTTTAGATCAAGAGGATCAGGTTACAGAGCCCGATCCACAAGAAGATTGCGAGTAGATGCTAGATATTTTCTATTTTCTGTCTGTTTCCTTAATTCTCGTGTTTCTTTCAAAGAATGAATTCTGTAATGTTGTTTAGTACTTTTAAGTTATTATAAAGGAATGTAAACTTTAACTTTTTATTTCGCTTCCGCACTTAAGTTATTATCTATTTTCTTTTGGATTTCCGAGGTTGTTACAGGAGCACCATCGTCTTTGGTCATATTTTTAGAAAGAAGAATCGGTTGTTGCCCGTATTGCTAACATCAAGAAGAAGTTGGAACAAGCCCATTCTAAGTACCTCATCAACTTGGAAATGAATCTGCGCAAAGAGCTTAAGGATGTGTTGCTACAGGAAGAATTATTTTGGCAACAAAAATTGCGGTGTGAGTTTATTTCTTTGGGTGATAAGAAAACGAAGTATTTCCACGCTTGTACTATGGCTCGCCGTCGGTGTAATAAAATTGTCATGCTTCAGGACACTTAGGGGAACTTGGTCTCTGATGACGGCCACCTCAGACTCATGGCTATGAGTTTCTTCAAATAACTTTATTCCATATACACGATGGAGGCTTCGACCTATCAGATAAGGGGTACATTTTTGCTCCTTATAACGACCACACTTAATATGCTTAGTGCCCCTATTACGAAAGACGAGGTTCGTCTTGCCCTATTTACCATGAAACTGCTCAAGACCCTTGGTCTGGATGACCTCCATGTGGCCTTCTTCCAACACCACTGGGAGGTTGTGGAGGACTCCATTTATGAAATGGTGTCGAAAGTTTTCTAGGGGGTTGATCTGGAGAAGGGGATTAATAGGACCTTAATTACATTGATTCCCAATGTGGTCAGGCCCACTTCGATCAAGGACTTTCGTCCTATTAGTCTCCTCAATGTCTCCTATAAGATTATTACAAAACTAATTGCCAACAGGCTCAAGAACATCATGCCTAGTCTCACCAGTGACACACATGCTAGTTTTGTGGAGGACCGGAGTATCTCAGACAATATTATTGTGGCCTAGGAGGTCATTCACTCCATGAGGTGCAAAAATAGTAAAGTCAATTGGATGGCGATCAAAGTAGACCTCGAGAAGGCCTATGATAGACTCCGTTGGGATTTTATTGAGGATACCCTTAGTAACGTTGGCTTCCCACAACCCTTCATTAGAGTTATTATGGAATGTGTTAGCTCGAGCTCCATGCAGTTGTTGTGGAATGAGGAGGTTACTGATGAATTTGTTCCCTCACATGGCATTCGTTAGGGTGACCCCCTGTCTCCCTATATTTTTGTGTTGTGCATGGAGCACCTCTCACATTACATTGATCAGTTGGTTCATTGTGAGGCATGGCTTCTGATTTCTCTGAGCAAGACGGGTCCTAAACTTTTTCATCTTTTTTTTCCTGATGATTTGATTCTCTTTAGCCACACCTCGACTAGGCATGTTCAGCTTATTAAGACTGTGCTGGCTGAGTTCTTCGAGAGCTCCAAGCATAAGATCAGCGCTCCTAAGACTCGTATCTGTTTCTCTCTTAATGTTACAGCTAACGAAGCTACTAGGATTATGAAGGAGTTTGGTTTTCTGGTCTCAGCGGATCTGGGTATGTATCTTGGGGTCCCCCTTCTCTATGACATAATCACGAAGGACACTTATAAGTATATCCTTGAGAAGGTGCGGGTGAAACTCTCTGATGGACTGTCATCTGCCTTTCTATGGTCGGTCGCCTCACTCTGGCCAAGTTTGTACTCATGCCTATTCCTACATATGCTATGCAGACCACTGCCATTCCCACCTCACTTTGTGATTAGATCGATCGCCTGGTGTGGGATTTTATTTGGATCTCTTCTAGAGAGGGGAAGAGGCTCAGCTTAGTTAGTTGGTAAGAGATGTGTCACTCAATCTCTCATGGTAAGGGTGGCCTCCCAAGCCTCAGAGCACTTAATAAGGCCTTCTTTATGAAAATGAGCTTCTCTGTCCTGACCAAGCTGCACCTTCTTTGGGTTCAAATTCTGCGCCACAAATACAAGTGGGACTGTTCCTACATATCCCCATTCAAGTCGAATATGTGCTCCCACCTCTGGAGAAAACTAAGCGGTCTTTGGGACGCGTTTACCCATGGACTGGCTTGACACGTTGGTGATGGGAATACTATGAGGTTCTGGGATAATAACTAGTTAATGAATTGTGGCCCCCTCAAGCACTTCGTTTTTTAACCTTTGACGGATACTCAGGTTTCCATACGCATTAAGGATCTGGTGACCCCAACCAGCCAGTGGGGCTATGACCTTCTGCAAAACTTATTCCCTCGCAACGTTCTTCTTCAATTGGCTACTGTTAGTCCCCGTCGGGAGGATAAGGGTGCCGATGGCCCTTATTAGAGCCTTTCGCCTGACGGTAATTTTTCTATTAAATTTGCTTATCATATGCTTACTGACATCTCTTATCTTTTTGTAGATAAACAGGTGGGACTTAGCGTCGAAGTGGCTGGGAGCTCAGCGCATTCGTCAATCTTTAGTTGGTCTTGAGGAGCAAGTTTGCTGGCACATGGCTGATGATCCTAGCTGTTTGGTTTGTGGTACTGGTATTAAGGACCTCAACCACGTCCTGAGGGGTTGTCTTCAAGTGTATATTATGTGAAGCAAGATCATTCCTCATATGGCAGCTCCCACCTTCCTTAATGTTCCTTTTGATGCCTGGGTTGCCGCCAACCTACAGAATAAGTTCAGCTAGTGCTCGTCCTTCAGGGATTGGAAGATTGTGTTTGGCATTACCTGTTGGCTCCTTTGGAAACAAAAAAATGTGCTCATGTGTGAGGATAGTTCATCCAGTTTGGAGGAACTAAGACACGAGATCTTCAGGATGACTAAGTACACATTTCAGGCCTTCGCCATTAGGACGACCATATCTGGCCATTGCTCGGGTAGGTCGGAAAAACTTATCAACTGAACCCCGCCTCCTGAACATTGGATCAAGGTCAACACTGATGGCGCTATCCGGGGTAGCACCGAGATGGTTTGTGCGGGCGTCATTGGCCGGGACAGTAACGGTCAGTGGCTGGGGGCCACATCAAGAATATTGGCACCTGCACCGTCCTCTAGGTTGAACTCTGGGGTGCTCTCGATGGCCTTAAGTTGGCTTGGAACTTTGGGTCGCATCATGTGATCTTGGAAATGGATAATGCCCTACCTATTCAGGTACTGAATTGTCCCCTCAATAAGGAGCATGTCGCCACCAACGTTAATTCTCACCTGGTGTTGGCTATTCAGTCTTGATTGATGAGAGATTAGAACGTTAAGATACAGCATGTTTATCGCGAGGGAAATTATTGTGCGGACTTCCTGGCTAACCTGGCTTTTTCTTCTCCTATTGGATCCTACTATCTGTAGCAGCCGCCCACTGAGCTTCTGAGTATTCTTTAAGAGGATTTTACTGGGGTTTCCTGGCCTATAATGCGCGCTATTTAGTTGTATCTGTTGGTTCTTTTCTCCCTTGTATAGAAAAAAAAAAAAACTCTAATAGCCTCCGTGTATATAGGTTTGTTAACCTATAAGTGATTTACTTTCTTTTGATCATATTAGAATATTTTTTTGTTAGTTTTGTCCGTGGATATAAACATACTATCGAACCACGTAAAATCTTGTGTTGTTCTCTTTTATACTTTTTATTTTGTTTGTGATTGTGCATGATTTACTCTCTGTTTGGATAGTAGTAAATGGTAGTCAATTAATGTATGGTACTCTACAGACATGATACAATCATGTTTGTTTCAACGTCTAAACTGATGATATGGTAGCAAAAATTATCCGACTGACACATTTTGAATGAATTTTAAAAATCACCGAATCGGTGGTATGTGACGAGCAAATAATTATATTTTCCGTTATAACTTCATAAAATATTTTTAATTCTCGTTATAGCCTCCTAAATAAATGATCATTTTAAATACATTTTAAATTCTTATTTTTTGAAATAATTTTATATTTAATATAATAATATATAATTAGAACAATTTATTTTTAATATATAAATAATTTTATTTTTAATATATAAATAATTTTATTTTTATTAAAATTAAATTAATGTAATAATATAAATAATAATTATTTATTTAATTAAATATAAAAATTTAATTTGATTATGTGTAATAATTATTTATTTAAATACAAATTTAATTACATTCTTATATAATTTTTTATTCATTACATAATTTTTATATACTATTTACTATTACATATAATAAGGTAGGGATAAATTAGTAATTTGACTGAAAATTCAATTATATTATCCTATCGTCCTAACAAAACAGTTGTTATTAACATACATTAATATACAATCATCCAAATATAAAATTTTTTTGTCATTCTCATCACGTGCCATTATCATTTAATTACTGTCACTGTTATACATTAATTATCCATTACTAAAATTTATACAAACAGGATATTAGGGGTTGATTTACAACAATAACAAATTTGAATCGGGCCTTAAAAAAACGGGCCGGACTAAGATGGGTTTTCTTTTGGGTTAGGGAATGGGCTGGTTTTGGTAGAAGTGAGGGAGCTGGTTTATATATATATATATATGTATGTATATAATTTTTATGATTTATTATTATATTTTTTTATCTTTAATACGGACAAGTCCGGCGTTAACGTTGACTTGACGAAGTTTGCGAGAAGGAAGACGCAAACGAAACTCCCGTGAATCAGCGTCCATTCGTCATCCTTATCACGTCAGACAACCACTCCGGGAATAAAGCCATTGTTATCTCCGCCAATAATGTCATGCCACGTGGTGAAAATTGACTAGAAGTCAACTTACGTTAACTTTACGTTAATTAAAAAATTAAATAAATAAATTATATATACATTTATTCTCAACCTCGTCTTCAAGAAGAAAGCAGACCTCTGGTTTCAGTTCCACTTTTTCCGAACGACAAAACCATGGGCGACGAGCAAAACGACGCTGTTTCATCCGAATTCAAGCTTGTTGGATTCGCTAACTTCGTCCGGACAAACCCTAAATCCGATAAGTTCAAGGTCAAGCGCTTCGACCATATCGAGTTCTGGTGCGGCGACGCTACTAACTCCGCTCGCCGATTCTCATGGGGGCTTGGCATGCCTATCATCGCCAAATCCGATCTCTCCACCGGAAATCTCACTCACGCCTCATACTTATTGCGATCGGGCGATCTTCGATTCCTCTTCACCGCTCCTTATTCCCCCACAATCGCCGCGTCGCAGAACGTATCCCACACTGCTACTGCCTCTATCCCCACCTTTGATCATGATGCTTGCCGTGCTTTCTCCAATACTCACGGCCTCGCTGTTAGGGCTGTTGCGATAGAGGTGGAAGACGCACGAGTTGCATTCGAGACCAGTGTGGCCAACGGAGCCAGGCCTTCATCCTCTCCGATTGAGCTTGACGGCCGCGTCATTCTATCCGAGGTTCAGCTCTACGGCGACGTCGTTTTGCGCTACGTTAGCTACAAATGTGGAGACCATCTTTCTTCTGGGGTTTTCTTGCCCGGTTTCGAACCTATGGATGAAGCATCGTCTTATCCAGTGGATTACGGGATCCGGAGGCTTGATCACGCGGTGGGAAACGTGGCGGAACTGGGTCCGGCGGTGTCGTATGTTAAAGGATTCACGGGATTCCATGAGTTCGCTGAGTTCACGGCGGAGGATGTGGGAACGAGCGAGAGCGGGCTGAACTCCATCGTCCTGGCTAACAATGATGAAATGGTGCTGCTGCCGATGAACGAGCCAGTTTACGGGACCAAGAGGAAAAGTCAGATCCAAACTTATCTGGAGCACAACGAGGGACCAGGGCTGCAGCACTTGGCGCTGGTGAGCGAGGATATATTCAGGACTTTGAGGGAGATGAGGAAGAGGAGTGCGGTGGGTGGATTTGAGTTCATGCCATCGCCGCCGCCCACCTATTACAAAAACCTCAAGAAGAGAGTTGGTGATGTCTTGAGCGACGAGCAGATCAAGGAGTGTGAGGAGTTGGGAATATTGGTTGATCGGGATGACCAGGGGACATTGCTACAGATCTTCACCAAGCCTGTGGGGGACAGGTATACACGCAGCATGAACCATTCTTCTTGGTTTTTACTCCTTTTGTCTATGGAATGAATTTCTCTTCTGTTGATCCATGCTTTAATTGTTTGCTGTGTCTGCGTATTGTGCTTGAATTGACATGGGTAGCTTTACTATGTCATTTATTTTGAGAGCTCTTTGATGTTTCAGTGCCCAACTACCGATTTCTTTTTGAGGAAAATTTGACAGGATGAAAGCTCACGATATTTCATTTACCTCAAGTTTCTCACTGTGCAAACAGTACAGTTCTCCTATATATATATATATATATATATAAATATTACTATTTTAACTCCACCAGGATGAAAGCTTATGATACTTCATTTACCCCAAGTTTCTTGCTGTGCAAACAGTACAGTTCTTCTCCAAACATTCCTTACCCCTTATATATATATATATACATTACTAGTTTAACTCCACCATTTGGTTGTCTTCATTTTTCTCTTAATTATGTTCTTTAAATTGTCCTTCAAGCTTTTGTGTCGAGATGGGACCATTTAATGCTGGTGCTGGTAAATAATTGCGTTCTTCTGTGTATTACATCCGCACAGAAAATTTGAGTTTCTTGTTTTGAAATATAGAATTGTTTGTATTCCCATGTTGATTACTTGTAGGTTCTGATGCACATATGTTTTGCAGGCCAACCATATTTATAGAGATAATACAGAGAATTGGGTGCATGCTGAAAGATGAGGAAGGGAAATTATACCAGAAGGGTGGATGTGGAGGATTTGGGAAAGGCAACTTTTCCGAGCTCTTCAAGTCCATTGAGGAATATGAGAAGACACTTGGAGCAAAAAGGGTTTCAGAACCCGCCGCAGCATGAGAAAACCCGGTTCGGTGTTTTCTTCTCCCTTAAATTGAATAACGTATAAACTCTATATATATTATGCTAAGATCACTATCAATGACGCCGAGAAGAACTTAGAGTTCATGGAACTCATTTCAGAGCAATGAAGATAAATATATACTTGTAACTCTGTTGAGCTTGTTGTAATATAACCAACTTAAAGATAAATAAACTCTGCTACAGTATTTTATGTTTCATGTCTGTGCAACCTCATTCTATGGGAATATATACAAGGATCATTATGATGATCTTAAAATCCAGAAACAAACAGCTCAACCGCACATGTCTGCTAGACTGAGAACACAAGAAAGCGAAATTACCAAGTTAAGTACCTAGCAAATCTTGTACTTAATCAATCCTCTAGTTTGAGAAACTTGTTCTTTTTGAGAAAATAGGGAAGTTCAGTGTCAACAAGAGACCCAAATGAATGAAGTCAGAAGCAAGGAATTAGAGACTTGCATTTGTGAGGAATTTGAAAGAGTTCTGAAAGTGATGTTCCTTGTCTTCTCATCAAAGAAATAGTAAATACCAGAGGAATTAGCAACCACTAATAAAAGATATTTTTTTCTTTAAGATGCCAAAATGTTATTGTCGACTTGTACTATAACTAAGAAAGATAGTTTACATTTTTAGCTGAAGGTAGTTTTCCAATGCATTATTAAGGATTCAATTTATATATATTCTAATTAAATACTTGGCTTTTAACTCTATTTTTCTTTTATTGTCATGTGGTATATAACGTAAAATCACATATAAAATTGTCACTTTGTTGTCTACTTACTTCAGTTAGATAACTTAGATTCATAGAAAATCTGGGTATTACCTCCTCCTCCTATAGGGTGAAAATTTTCCCGTGTATTGAAGGAAAGCTTGCTTGGAATACGGGCTAGGGAAAGGTTGCCCAAGAAAAAAGAGTCAGGCACCCCACAATTCCATGCATGGATATGTATCTGTAAATGTCTACCTTCTAAAACTTAATTTACTTGCGATCTCCTTCTCTTCTTTTACTTTACCTCTAAGGTCTCCGATGCCAAAAGAAACTAGTTCCTGTTGAGTCCATTGATATGAAATTGATAGGTCTTAGTTGTAGTTATCAATATAAGGTTTACCAAGAGAATTTAATTTTGAAGATTCTATTGAAGGGTTAAGAATTCTGGTGTCAACCAAATAAGCTTTTGTTTTATCCTTAATTTTGTTTTGGAGCTTTTGGTTGTTAAATTAATAGGAAACTTGATTGTTACTGAATAAGCTCGTCTTAATCTGTTTAAAGTTGTCTAAGAAAATAACCAAGATATCTATATGCTATATTTTGTACGATAGAAAATAGAAAATACGTAGGCAACAAATTATATTTGTATTTAAGATGATTAATAAAACAGAGCTTGACTATTATTAATGATGGTTGGTAGATATTTTGCAGATCAATTGAATTTTTTTTTAATACAGTGTAATATGCAGAGAACTTGTTTGAAAGTGATTCTCTACTACAAAAGAGAGTAAAGACAACTATTAGACTAAAGTCTGTCGGTTTAGCAAATTTGATTTTAATTACTACGTACCGCTAGATCACAAACATGGATTAGATCAACCAAATAGTGGCTTTAGCTGTTGAAGTAAAGAGTCTGAGATGATTTTGTTAGTCTTCTCGGTTGGATGGATGGCATCCCAGAAGACATACTTATTTGCATCTGTGCAGGTAAACGGGTGGCGGGGATTGCATAGAAAACCCATCTCAAATGTTCCTGACCCACAGCAACCCACCTCTGCCACTTGAAACCCTGCGGCCATTTATATAATCAATATATGCATGTAGTAAGTAGGTAGATAAATGAATATTGGTATTAATATTGATAGGTGTTGAAGAATTGGAATTAGGTGACTGGGACTAGAATAATAAATGAAATGTTGAAGAAGAAAGTTAATCATGAGTTACCCACCATAGAAAGAGGGCTTGATTATAAGCTGCAAAAGAATGTCATATGGATTTGAAAAGTGTATGGTGATTCCAGGAAGCTCCTTGTTCATCCTATAAACCATACCACTCAACTTGGCATTAAACTCCAAAGCAACAAGATTGTATTCTTGGACACAGTGAAAAGGATTGTTGAAGTTTGTAGCCCTCTCCATTGGCAGACACCCCATGGGAGGGAGACCGGTGAGGGAGATCTTTCGAGCTCCAAGCAGATAGAGTTGGTTAAGGAAGTTTCTGGCAAGTAGAATGAGAAAGTCCTGGTAGGCTTCAGTGGTGAACTGAGAACGTCTGTTGGACATGGCGAAGTAGTTTTCTAGGAAATCATTTGTTCCCACACTCACTATATACAAACCTTCACTTACTATCTGGTTTCCTTTTATGTCGCCCGCATAAGCTCTTAACTTGCTCTGGTATTCTTTGTAGTACTCCACTTGCTTCCACATAGGAATAACTCCCTGCAATCATACAAACATTATTATCTATATATTTATACCCATTACTTATAACAAAATGGGAAAACTTACGAGGACATCAGAGGTAACGTTGTCGAAACCAGTGGCAGCAGAGGCAAAGCAAACACCAGAAGCAAAGTGAGAGATGTTATACGAAGGATCCAAATAGGCAGGGACAATGGGGTTGAGGCCAAAACCCTGGGAGATGAAGTCTGGAGAAAGACGGCCATTAGAGAAGCGACCGGTGGGGAATCCGCCGGGGAAGTCACGTCCGTATGGCTTGAAATTACACTTGGCAATTGTTGGTATGAAGTTGTTGTTGCCTGAATCTACCGACGAGTCTCCAAATACTATGATGGCCGGAACTGCTGCTTCACATTTCCAACCCACCTGCAAGCTTAATAATAATAATAATAATGTCAAAACCAGCCGCATCAAATTATATACACACACAAACCACACCCCTCCCATGCACACTCTCTTTTTCAACTTCCCTACTCTTCTTACATATATAAATATATCTATACAAAGATACTATGTATACACTCCTTAATGCATATATACAGACACGAGTTAATTGGGAGCTCCGAAAAGTTGGATACCTGTTGTAGCATCTTCCATTTACGTCTGTGACCTTCCCATTTAATGTGCATTTATTGTTTACAGCGATCTACTTCAATTCATTCATTTTGAGAAAAAAAAAAACTTGAAAAACTTCACACAAAGTGGATTACAAAAATCTCGCAAAACCTTATAAATATCAACTTTTAGTTTTAATTCTCATCATCTAATGTTTTTATTTTTATTTTTTTGAATTTTAACCCAATTATCTTCTTTAAATTTTAATTATTTAAATATACAATTAATTTAATGCAGCCATCATTCAAATTCTATGAATAGTATTGAGACAACATAAAGTGAATTCTATATTGAATTTGAATTAAATATTGAGGAGGGAGCCGGTATGTCTAGTCACCTAATTTCTTGCCTCCGGGTCTGTCATTTAGGCATACAGGTACAGCTATATATATTTAATTTGTTATGTATGTATACATCTGTTCCAGAATTGTAGGTACTGATTTTCGGTTAGCTTAATTAGATACACTTGGTGGGTGGTGTATTTACTATCGCCCTATTAAGAAAAATTTCTATTAAAAAATAAAAAATAAAAACAGAGATTAAATATGGCTGTGGTCAACTACACTTAATGCAGCATTAGTCATGTCTTATTCTGTGAATTGATGCGTGAATTTATTAATAAATTTTACTCTTAAACATCACAATAATATTGATGGCATTGATCGTGCCTTAAAAATTTGGGATGTGTATATATTTGTTTAACAGGCATATATATAAATATATACGTATAATACGTCATTACCTACACACTACTTATTTCCCCAATAACACACGCTATTTTGACTAAAGATTAATTATATTTTTACAAGTTAGTGTGTAGAATCGGATACAGTTTAAAGACTTTAATATACACATATATTTTTCGAGATAGTGTTATGTATTAATCACGTAATACTCCTAGAGCAAATACATATATAAAATATATATCAAACGTAATAATACTCATGTAAGAAATGGTATGAATTTGACTTTCCACACACTACATAGCTTCACCCCATCTTTAAGCAGATATATATAGAGTTGATGGTATGTGTTATTTCTATATGTATAGCATATGGAACGAGGATATACATGTATGTACATATATGAAAAGTAAGAAGGAACCTTGTTTGGTGCAGAAGGGATTTGTGCCGGTCCTTGTAGGAAAAGCAGAGAGAGGCGAAGGAGACATGGAGAGAATTATGGTGCCTGCGAAGCTCATTCATCATCCATTTATTGTAACTCTTCTCCAGCTGTCAGCTGAGGAATACGGCTATCACCAACAGGGATTGCTTAAGATCCGATTTGATGCTCATTCCCTTAAAACCATGCTCCAATTCATATCCAACCACAAAATCTGATCATTTCTAGGTCCTATATATATATATATATATATAATACAAATGCACAATACCATGTCCATCCTCTATATGACAACTTTATGAACAAACTCAGTTCCTCTAAGTTTTTATATATATATACACACACACACACACATACATAATAATACCAGTCATCACATGGTAGGACTATGTTAAGTCTTTTAATCTTTTAAACGTAATGAAATATTTTATTTAGCAATATCAACTGTGTATATATATAAAGATACACACACACACCAACAGGGTTTGCTCAAGATCCCATTGGATGCTCATTCCCTTCAAACCAAGCTCCACTTCATATCCAACCACAAACTCTGATCATTTCTAGGTCCTATATATATATAGAAAATGCTTTATCTCAATATATATATATATATATTGAAAATACCAATACCATGTCCATCCTCTATATGACAACTATATGGACATAACTTAATTTCTCTACGTCTATATATATATATATATAAGCACATACTAATACCAGCCATCACATGGTAGGACTAGTTGTGTCTTTTAATTTTTCAAACGTAAGAAAATATTTTATTCAGCAATATCAACTGCTTATACACCCTGATGAAGTGTATGCACAGGAACAAATGGAAACAACAAAGAACTCCTTAAGAGAAACAAGAAAAAGATTACTGTCTTCTAAGAGTAATAGTTTTTTAATCTTCATGTTCTCTAGTAAAGCTTGACTTTCTGGACGATGCAAATTGATGCATCTAGCTTTTCATCTGTATATATGATGTCAGAAAGCATGCAATTTCCATGCAAGACAAATACATAATTAAGTACATACAGATCCCAATTGTATACCGAACGAGAACGACAGCAAGGACACATACGTGAAATAAGGCATGAAATAGCAACACGAAATCAAAAGCTAAAGATAACATTAAGAAGCAAACTTACTGATTAGTTATTGGTGCCAAGCTAAAGATAATAATTTTTATTGAGGAAACGGGTAAATACACACAACCACCAAAGGCAACCTAGAAATTGTTGCATGTGACATTCTACTTTATTGGCTCGAAATAGTGGACCAGATGACTAAAACATCAGAAAGACAAAGGAAGATGAAAAATAAGTGCAAGAAAAAAGCTTTGTAACTCAAATTAACAGTATGGTCCTAAGTCATTTAGTTTGCTTTTTAAAGTTCTAGAAGACCTTTCCGAGTTTGAAATCGCGGAAATATATTTAACTCTTCCCTAGCTTCTAAACGGTAATAAAGAATCCAAAGATCCTATTTATATATTTCAATAGAGTTTGTACTTACATTCTCCCTAAAATTCACCTCCCATATCTTGAAGAGACTGACTCTATTTATAGAAACTAAAATAGGTAACATGCAAGTTTGCGGAACACCATCAATTACTAAAAAAAATTGCATATTGTTTCACTTGCCTTCCTAGTGAAATGAGATCAAAATAACACTTACACTAAGTTCCTCTTTTTTCCAAATTTCTCTCTGATACATTCATAGTTGTTGATACCAAAATAATACCTAAACCTGTCAAAGCTCTAGATAATCAATTGAATCTCTGGTTCAAAGAAAGAGCATCTAGAATAAGTGAAATTTACTGTTACTAGATCAACACAAGAATAAATTTATACTATGAATAAAGTATGGTAAAATCTACTCGAGAAATAATTCGGATTTAAAAATGAACAGATTGAGTGGACAAGATGATGTACGTGAGCACCCTAATCTTTGGAGCCGACAGTAAACTTAGCAATGAAAAATCCAATTGTGTCTAGTGGAGCTGACGGATCAAATCTCTGCACAAGTTCTTCCTCTCCAGGTCTTAACCATTCCCTGAATAATCATTGCAACTTCTTATGGATTTCGTAACCAGTAAAAAGAAAAACAAGTTTCTTACTTTAAAATTACAAATAAATTGGATAAATTATTTGTCGCCTTCACTCAACTGTTTGATGCTAAATATTATGGTAATGTACAACTTTGTTCTTGTTCAATATGGCACTCAACATCCTCAACAACTTTTCTTTTTGAAATAACAACCTCAACTACTTCAACCCTCATAATTAATTAATCTCTTATTTTCATGCATACCTCTAAAATTTTTAAGGGGAAAAAAAGAGTTAAAACTAAATGAACCGTAAATATGTGTTTAAGCAGGAAGAAGTTTTTCCTGACTGGCTAAAATTTAAACAAAGTATTAAACATTATGATATATATAAAAGAAATAATGATAAATTTTATGCAAGAAGGAAAAAAGTTAAATAAATTAACAGTCAGAAGAAGAATTACGCTACCTTAATTGTTTTTATCCATATGTATATCATCATAGGCCAGTGTTTTTTTGTTTATTCATGTTTCTTTTCTTTTTGCCGAGGAATTGTTTATTCATGTTAGAGAATATTGAAAAGGAATATTCTCATTTGCTTTAATTAAAAAGAAAGACCAAAGTGTTTCTGTATCATTTTTAAGGAATTTTTCAATCCCAATTTAGCAACAGTATCACTCAAATCTTCTATATATAATATACGAATCCTGGAGAAATAAGGAACAAACGACTCATTTTTGTAATTTATTATTATAAAAACTCAAGCTGATAAGAATGACTTATTTTATTTATAGATTCAAATGGCCCATCAAGCACAAGCCTCCTAGGCGAGAAGTGTAGGTATATATTCTCTGTACATTGTAGATTCTCTTTGCATTATGTTAAAATTAATGAACAAAATTTGCAACACTAAAATATTTGAACTATATAAATCTAACTCTGATACTAATGATAGTAAAATAATGTATTATCCTAAAAACTTAAACTAATAGGAAGATAACAAAAACATTTCTTATATTTCACTTTTCTGTTGATCTTTTGACAGTTTCACCCTATATTTTTCTAGATCCAATCACATAATCAAGATTGTAATTACTTTTGAAAACCGAGATCGGAAAGACACTTGAAACAACATGCAAGAAGAAAAAACTCAATTTTAGTGGATTCAACATTCTTTCCTGACGGAGAAATGAGATAAAAGGGGCATGTAAATTGCAGAATAAGTACTTACTCGATATATCCATCAGGAAATTCACAACGACCCACCAGCCCAGGTCCTCCAATTCTTGGGTTCTGACACATGAAAAGATCAAAGTAATTGAAAAGTGGGAAGAAATGTGTCGGTAAAAGTAAGCAAATTGAAGATATGATATACAACAGTCTCTTTCACCTTTGCATATCTTACTTTCATGAGAACTTTCCATCACTGAATACTAATTGTAACAAACAAGTGAATGCACGCATGCACACTGATTTACGATATTTTCTACTGTTGAAACAGCCCAGAGACCAATTTCCATTGCTCTATTTTAAAACTATTAATACACTCTTACACCTGCAAACTACAAACTCGTTGGCCTATTTCTTGGCCATGACAAACGACTTTGGGTAATCATTTCTATCAAATTGATTGACTTCTTAATTGAAGCAGTTAACCCTATATATTTTTAAATTTGACATATGAAAATACATTCTGTCATTCATGATCTTGATGATTTTGGACATAAAACCCACAAGCAAATAAGAATAGATTTCTTGGACTTATATTATCCAAATAGCCTTGAAGAATTGAATATGTTGTAGTTTTCTTACTGCAACCAGCCAGTCATTCCTCATGCATTTCTTTCCTCTCCTCTCTTTCTTGGCTGTAATCTCCGGTAGTCTCCAACCAGCATCACTTCCCAATTTCTGGCTGTGTTCCATCAATTACTAACCATCTTCAACATTCTTTTTCTCTCCCCTAGCCAGATTTTTTTGGGAATATCTCTCCACTATTCTTTGGTTACACTTGACTCAAGCAAAAATTGAGTGAAGCTAAGTGAAGCTAAGTGAAGCCTTATGGCACCTAGGTTTCAACGCTGGTGATAGAGGGAAAGTAAAGTTGAGTGAAGCTTTATTGGTGCAAAAATGATGCAAGAGTGGCAGACAACTGCTGGGAATTAGTGGGATCACCTTGGTTCTGTTTAGGGTAAAGTAAGAGAAGCTTAGAGCAAAAGAAATGGAGAAAGCAGGGGGTGGATTTCAGTTCTAGACAAATAAGAACTAGAATCAGCTTTTGCGGCAAATCTTTTGGGAAGATCAAGAGAGGGGAGTAAAGAGTGAAGCAGAGAAAGAAAGAGAGCTGGAGGGAACAGTTTCATGATTTCTCTACGAAATTAGGGAAGAGTTTCATGATGGAACTGAAGAAAGAAACAACAAGAAGGTCTTCAGGCACACACAGCAACAGAGTTTTGAGGGGTATGCAGTAAATAAAATAGGAGTTCAAGGATATCAGTTTTGAACTTTAAGTGAAACTTTTAAATTTCTCTTGTTATGTAAATCCCTTTATATGAAAGAGAATGATGTAATAATTTATTGAAATAAGACAAAATAGCCAAGGACTAGTTTTCATTCCTACGCATATATTCCTGTTTCGGCTCTCCACCTATTTTACTTTTCTGGTTTTCCTTGTGAATGTGCCGTAGTTGTAGCCATGGTATCAGCTTGGCATTTAAATTGGTGATATGGCTAGCTAAGCTGTTGAAAAATCCATCAATCTTCTGGGTCAATATTACAAAATTAATCTTAAAAATATAAGATACCAGTTAGGGGATCCCAGTAATATTTGGAAATTTCACATTTCATTTGTCATAATTTTTTTTCTCTTCTTTTTGTAACAGGTACATATACTTGTGTATATACTCCCTTTCAATATACAAAAGTTTCAGTTCCTCTCTAAATTCCACGTAATATAAAAGCTCTATGCTCTTTCACCTCTATTGTCATTTATCTTTTTATGTTTCTGTAGAAATTTAGAAAAAAATATTTACTTTATTTCCACTATAATTTTGATATTATAAATAACACACATATATATAAAAGAATTCCTAAATACAAATAAGAAAATTTTTCTTACAATAAAAATTTTAAATAATTACAAGAAATTAATGATAAGAGTTATATAGAAAAATTATCACAATTATTTAGACAACAAAATATTCATGTCAACACTCTCCCTCAAGTTGGTGTGAAAATATCACACATGCTCAATTTGCATATCAAGTTCTGAAGAGTTTTGTTGCAAAGTTTTTTAATGAAGATATCTATTACCTGATTGTTAGAAAATACATGATATAAGCATAAGAATAGTCATCAACCACTTTTTCTTTTATAAAGTAACGATCAATCTTAATGTGTTTCGTCTGATCATGTTGAACTGGATTTTGAACAATATTAATGACTGCTTTATTGTCACAAAACAATGATAAGCTTTCTTCTTTAAACAGTTTTAATTCATTCATTAACTTTTCCAATCATAATAATTCACATACCCCTTGAGTCATTGATCTATATTTTGCTTTAGCACTAGAACGAGCAACTACACTCTATTTCTTACTTTTCCATATAAACAAGTTACCACCAATGAGTGTGCAGTAACCAGTAGTTGATTTTTTATTATTTAGAGATCCAGCCCAATCGACATCTGTAAATATTTCTATCTTACGGTGGTCATTTCTGGAGAAGTGTAAACATTTTCCTAGTGCAGATTTCAAATATTGTAATATTCGAAAGACGGCATATAAATGAGTTTGGCGAGAATCATGCATGTACTGACTCACCAAACTAACTGCATAAGTTATATTTGGTCTGATATGTGAGAAAAAATGAGTCTTCAACTAATATCTAA